GCGGGGCTGGTGGGGGTTGATCTGTCCCTGGGAACTTTAAATGGATTTTTTATGGATTTTTTTTTTTTTCCTGCTGCTCGAGGAAAAATTAATTCGGAGCCATCCTGGGTTTTTATGTCGTAAAAGATTGGATGCAGCCAGAATTTCACTCCCGGCTTCAGCGTTCCCGGAGTTTTTAATCTTCTGGACAAGGCAATAAAGTCGGGAGGAAGGGAAGGAGCTGCCAGGGACGGATTTGAGCCARCCCGGAAAAATAAAACCATTTCCAACATTTATTTGGGGTTTGATTGCGGGAAAAAAAGAAAAAAACTGAGGCTGTTCCCAGAAAATGCTTTGGGACGGGCGGGAAAGGATCTTAAAGTTCATCCTGATCCAATCCYGGCATTTCCCAAAATCCCCGGGGGATCCAAATCTATCCTGGGACATTCCCGGGATCCCAAATCCATCCTGTGACATTCCCTGGGAATTGCAGCCCAGCCGGGAATTCCTTCCCAAGATCCCTCTGGAGGAGCTTTAAGGTCCCTTCYCACCCAAACMATCCCATTATTCCAGGAGGAAGGACAATGGTTGGGATGGGATTCATTCAGAGGGATTTTTATGGAAGTTAGGGATGTAAAAAGGAGGAAAAGGGATGGGAAACCTTCCTGGAGTCTCGGAATTCCAAGTGATCCCCCTAATTCCTGAAATTYCTTCTCAGAGAAGATTTGGGGTGGGGATGGGGTCAATCTCAAGCTGGGAATGATGGGAATGTTCCCCTGGATTGGGGAAGGATCCAGGGAATGCTCAGAGTCCCTTCCCGATCCTAAAGGGGCTCCGGGAGAGCTGGAGAGGGATTTGGGATAAGGGATGGAGGGATGGGACAGCAGGAATGGATTCCACTGGGAAAGGGGGGATTTATTGGGATCAGGGGAAGGAATTCCCGGCCGGGCTGGAATTCCCAGGGAATCCCCGGGAGTGTTCCAGGATGGATTTGGGATCCCCCCGGGATTGGGGGATGTTTCGGGGCTGCAATGGGATGGGATTTGAGGTCCTTTCCCACCCAAATTTTTCCAGGATTCAGTGATTCCATCCTGGGCTCTGGTTCTCCCTCTCCATGCTCGGATCAAACCGGATCCATCCCTGCTTTTCCAATTCCCAAACTTCCCAAACTTCCCAAATTTCTCAAATTTCTCCAACTTCCCAAATTTTCCCAAATTTCTCCGATCCAGGATTCTCAGGATCCTCAGGACATTCCCAGCTGCCTCAATTCTCCAAACCGGGATCAAAGCCAGGCTGAGGATCCAGGAATCCAGGTGGGAACTCCGATATCCCCGTTCCCAAATCCCCAAATTCCCAAAATTTGGGGAATTGTGGGAATTTCGGTGACCCACCTGGAGGGCAGAGTTGTTCTCGTCGATGAGCGCGTCCGTCACCTCCAGCTGCCCTTCGGCCACCACCTTTTGCAGCACCATCCGGAATGTTCCGATGAGCCTGCAACGACAYGAAATCCCGGGAATTTTCTGCTCCTCACGGTAGTTGTGCCCGGATCTGATTCCCGTTTTCCTCAGGAAGAGGGAGAGGGGAGATCCCAAATCAGGGAGCAGTGGGAATCATGGAAAAAGGAGGAGCTGTTTCGTGGGAATGTTGGTRGGATGAGGGAAGGAGATTTGGGAAGCATTGGTTTGAATTTCTGGGATGTAACTAAGGGATCCTGAAATGAGGGATCCCAAAATGAGGGATTCYATCCCAAATGGATCTGAGGGATCCCAAACCTTTCCCATCTTGAATGGAACTGAGTGATCCCAAACTGGCCTTTCCCATCCCAAATGGAATTGAGGGATCCCAAACTGAGAGATTCCATCCCAAATGGAACTGAGGGATCCCAAACCGRCCTTTCCCATTCCAAATGGAATTGAGGGATCCCAAACCATCCGTTTCTCTCCAGAATGGGACTGAGCAATCCAAAACTGAGGGATCCCAAACCGGCCTTTCCCATCCCAAACGTAACTGAGGGATCCCAAACCGGCCTTTCCTATCCCAAATGGAATTGAAGGATCCTAAACAGAGGGATTCCATCCCAAATGGAACTGAGCGATCCCATTGGATGGAGGTTTCCATCCCAGATGGAATTCAGGGATCCCAAACAAACCTTCTTCATCCCAAATGGAACTGAAAAATCCCAAACTGGACTTTCCATCCCAAACATATCTGAGGGATCCCAAACTGAGGGATTCCATCCCAAATGGAACTGAGGGATCCCAAACTGACCTTTCCCATCCCAAATGGAACTCAGGGATCCCAAASTGAGGGATCCCAAATTGAGGGACCCCAAACTGAGGGATTCCATCCAGAGTGTAACTGAGGGATCCCAAACCGACTTTTTTCACCCCAAATGAAACTGAGGATCCCAAATCAGCCTTTCTCATCCCAAATGGAAATCAGGAATCCCAAATTGGCTGTTTCCCT